AAGGCTGATTGACAAATACACGTGACATAAATTAATAGTTTTTCAATTTTGGGTAATGTTTCAGGTATATTGGCAGGTTTAAGTAAAATTTATTGTTGATTTAAAGCCGAGTTGGCTTTTCATTGATACGAATAATGAGTAGCTTTGGGATGAATGGTAACCTCTAAACTACAGAACCATTTTCACTATTGGTATGGAGTATCCAAAACGCAACCCACACGAAAGAGGTCCACCACTTGTATGGCAGCTATCCGACGGCATTATTCTTGTGAATAATGATACATATTGTAACTAAATCTTGGGTTCTGGTTAAAAGACGAGACACATCAGCTAATCTAAAAGTGGAATACTATTGTTATTAAACTGAAATATCAGTTAATTCATTTCGGTAACACACACACACAGACAGGCACACGCGCGACCATCCTACCTGATCTGCTTGTTTTCGCAGTTGTCGAGCGAGCAAATCCAACAGGGCATTCACCAGAGCTTTACATTTTTTCGACAAATTTTGTCGAACCGGTTCGGTATTAATATAGAATGGACCGATCACAATTGAACTGGGAATGGAATGTTCCACATTCTCTTTCTCCTCCAACTGTTTTTCCACTTGCAATTTGATTTCGAGCGCGCTCTGATTTTGCATTTCGTAAATTCTAGATTGAAAGACAAGAGAAAAACAAACAAACCTCACAGTGTGCAAATCGTTCACATGCAAACGAAACGTATCTACAATTGTTAATATCGTGTACTCAGTTGAATCAGAGTACCAACACAATAATATTGGAAAATAAAAATTCGAACGTTCAAAAAAATGGAGACAAAGTGACAGAAAATGGTGGAAAAATAATTATATTATTTGTCAAAACAGAAAGAAGACAAATGTCGCGAGATGTTAACATTTCGTTTAATCTTCTCAGTCGCTGAATTAAAACAAATAGACACATATAAAGCACATCGGATGAATCAATTTTGGTGAACAAACGTGTACAAGCATACAATGATTACTAAATTTAAAAGTAGAAGGTCAGCTCCACGGTAAGTGGATCGCTTGTGTCAAAAACTTCTGTGCGCATAGGGTCGGGTGATGTAATCGAATAAGCAGTGCTTCAATAATCGCTAAAAGTTTGTTTTAAGTCAACGACTGAGAAGATTAAACGAAATGTTAACATCTCGCGACATTTGTCTTCTTTTCTCTTTTTTTATGAAATGGATAAAGGGAACTCAATGCTTCAGATATACTATTTGTGTTTATTCATTACAAAGAACTGATTTTCCAAATACCAACTGCTACAAGATCACCATTGAAAGTTTTGCAAAAGAGTGCTTCAAAACCGGGTAAGTTTCTTGCCTGTTATTGATGTCCCTTCTTCAATTTGCCAAACACAAACCTTCTCTTTCCATTCCGAGTTGAGAACGTTGTTTATTCCGTTTCATTCTCGTTTAATTTAGTGCTACGATTCCTCAAGGCGATGCCCGTTCGAGGAAAGTTGTTTATTACGAATAACAGTCAGGGTATCGGTAAATTGTTATGCATACAACGAAATATCTCATTTGGAACGAGTCTGCGAAATTGTCCCCTCCCTCTTTCCACACACAGAACATTTGATGGAACGGTCCGCTATTTGATGCACGTTATTTTATTTACCATACTGAACAGCAGCAATTCGCTCCAACAGGTCTTTTACATTTTTAACAATTGGAAGGAACCACCGTTTGCACGTTTTTGAAAACTACTCACAACTGAATAGCACATCACAACAACAGTACACGGATTCACAGCTCATTCTTTTGTAGTGATTCTCTGTCAACCCTTAAGCAACATAGGATTCATTACATATTCTCTTACACTTGACCCAAAACAAACACACGATCGGTCGAACGGGTGTGACGCGTGCCCAGCTAGCATGAGTCAATGGCCTTGAGTGTTTAGAATG